CCGGTCGTGTGCATGACACGGGGTACATCACGGAGCTCACCCTTGACTGATAGGCGGTAAGTGCCTTGTCGTTGCTGCCCCACCGCGTCACTTCCTCACTAGGGTCCACTTCCTTCTCTGCTATGCCGCTGAGAGGGGTAGCCACGGCCCGTCCCTTCCCTTGCAGGCCATACCTAGCTTGTAGTCGCTGAAAGTATTTCTTTTGATGTAGCATGAGCGTCTTCTCTTGCCGGTTTCGCTCTAGGTTCATCCCAAGAAAGAGTGTGGCCCTTGGGATTTTCTTGACCTTGGAGACCGCTGCCAGGTGTGTGCACACCTCCTCCACTCTCTCCTTGAGTGCACCCGCCACCAGAATATCATCCACATAGAGTAGGAGAAACACCTTGTCTTGCCCTTTCCCCTTCATGTGGAATGCCCGGTTGCACTCGCTTTTCACAAAGCCAATCTTGAGTAGTTGCTCGCCCATTGTCTTGTACCACTCCCTTGGGCTTTGTTTTAACCCGTAGAGAGTCTTGAGCAACTTGCATTTTCTGTCCGTTCCATCTTCACACCCAGAAGGCTGCTCCATGTAGATGTCTTCCTTCAAAATGGCATAAAGGAAGGCATTCGTGATGTCAAGTTGCACCAATTGATAGTCTCGTGCCGCGACCACCTTGAGGAATGTTCTTGCCGTCGTGAGATTGCTGACCGGTGCGTAAGTTTTCCCATAGTCAACACCCTCCACTTGAGTGTAGCCATTTGCTACCAATCGGGCCTTGAAGCGCTCAAGTTGCCCCATATCCCCCGTCTTGATTTTGAATACCCATTTGACTCCAACAGGGCGCCTTCCTTCCGGCATCTTGACTAGCTCCCACGTTCCTCGTTCGGCAAGCGTGTCAAGCTCCGCTTGAATTGCAGCCCGCCATTCCTCCTTGTAAGGTGGTAAGTTGTAGGTTGCTCGCTGCTCCTTAGAAATCAGCGACATTGCCGTTGTAGTAAGTAGCAGGTGGGTGTGCACGTCGCGCCGACAAGTCATGAGGATCATCGCGTATCTTGGGTTGGGTCGTTTGATCCTCATGCCTCTACCCATTTCTTCTTCTTGTGCGGCTGGTGTAGGTGACTCTGCTTCGGCTCTGGTGAGTCCTTGGCTCTCATCTTGCTGCTCCTCTTCCTCACGCCCAATCAATATCGCACCTTCCTCTAGCAGGTTGTTAATCTCCCCCGTTGCTTCGTCACTGCTGTCCGAGTCAAACAGCCGCCAAGGATCACACGCTTCACTGGTAGGCGGTGGCTGCTGGTCATCCTTTGCTTGGTCACTCTGCTGGCCAATAGTTGCTGCATCACCCGACTGCCCTTCCAATTCCGCTGCCGTGTCGACCGGAGGCGTCGGGGTGGTCTCCCATACCCAAGTCATGGGTGAATCTTCGTCCTCTAGCTCCGCTGCACTTACTTCACTTGCTGTCCCTATCCCCTCAGCCCCACTTCCCAGCAGTTCTTGGACTGGCTGAGGTGTGGTAGACTTGTCATTTGCTGCAGGAACCTTTGCTCCGTCCTTGCTCCAGATTCTTCTCAAATTTCTTGCTGCCATTGTTCCTTCGTTCTGCACCGTTCGTAGGTAGTAGAGTAGCGCCATTAGGTCTTAGCGACGGCACCGTTCGGCGCTCCGCGTGGCAGCCGCCGTTCGGTGCTCCGCGTGGCAGCCGCAAACCACCTCAACAGAAAGGTGCGAAACACATCCTGCAGTCAAAGCCCGCACAGCCTTGCAGTAACCGTTGATTTTCCGCCATGGTCCCTATCTTCGATGATCTATCCAGTTCTAAATCTGCGATCACATTTAAATCACCCATCAGCAATAAATGTTTGCCCGTCTGCAGTGCTCCCAAGAAGGGAAAAAGGGCATCTCTGTAAAAGGCGTCTCGGGGTGTTGCCTGTGCCGGGAAGTATGCAGCCACCAGCTGCCACTCCAAACCCCTCCATTCTGTGTCTATACTAATCAGTCTACCATATGCGTGGCAGGTGATTTTGCTAAACAGTACCTTCGGTGAAAAGCTAAGCACTGCTACACCTCCGGCTTTCTGCGACGGTGGGACTATCGCCGACGACAGCGGCCTAAGTTGAGTCCAAAAAATATGATCCGCGTGCACTCTTGTGTCAGTGAGAATGATGACGTCAGCAACTGTCTGATCCAGTTGAGTTAGTTGACTCTCTTCCCCGCGCCTCCCAAGCCGTTGATGTTGAGAGCGCACACTGTTAGGTTGTTCCGTTTATTCATTTAATCACCCTCTGTAGACCCCACAACATCCACGGGCCAAGATATCTTGTTATAATGAAGAGACTACAAATGATAGCAGCTGACAATGAGGCACTAACTACCGCTCCAACAGCCACCATGTCATACAGCTCCGTGTCTACTCTCGTACATTCATGTTCTGCCGCTGTACCTCTACCACCACTCCCCTGGCAGGTCACTTGAGGTATTCCTTCTTGATGATCGCGAGGCTGATTGCACCCTTGCTGGTGCGGGTGGCTGCACCTGCTGTGGCGAGGTGCGTCGTGTGACGGAGAGAAGCAACATGAGCATCTGCTAGTTCGAAGCTGGAGCCGTACGCCTTGTCGCAGGCATCCAGGACACAAATCCAGTCTTTGCGGGAGCCTCCGGTCGAGATGAGAACCATTGCTGGGTCCAGCAGTATAGCCTTCAGTGAGTCTGTTACTATCATGGAGGCCGCTGCGGGTGGGTGAAGAGAGGGATGCGTGAGTACAACAGTGTAAGTTAAGGTCAGAGCAGTGCGAGCATAACAGAAAGGCGTTAATCTCATGGATACGTTTAACCGTAAGGTGCCATTTCCCAATGTTCGCCTAGCGGTCAGTGACGTAGTCGTCGTGGTAGCACGTCATGTGGTGGCCGTAGCACTAATCGCAGGTAAGCGACGGGGAGTGAAGGAGTAACTTCTTCGCATTCATAGCCGGATCAACAATGAAGTGGTGCCAGTGGTAGAGATCGTTGTCATGCTCGACAAGCAGGCCACGAATCTTATCCGTGTCCATCCCTGTCACATGGTCTTGCACCTGATATAAGCCGTAACCCTCCTTAAAAGGAGGCCTCCCCCTTTTAACCAGCTACACTATCACCAGGAACTTCCGGATCCTCTCCGGCAACAGCTCTGCAGGGACACCCTTCTGCACCACCTCAAAGGCCTTTGGGTGGAGGGCACGTGCACGAAGGAAATCTGCATTTTCCAGAAACTGCCAACTCAGCTGCAGCAGCTTTCCGTTAATCCAATCATGAGCAATAGTGCGCTTACAGACAAAAACGGCATCCTTCTCATGAGTAAAGGTAACCTGAAGCCGGCCGAAGCGTTCCTTCGACAAGAAAGTCGGTTTCAATCTCTAAAACTTCATCATCACAAGTACATCAGCCGAGAGCTCCTTCTGCCTTCATGTGTGGAACCTCCACGAGATGTTTATCTGGGATCAGCAGAGTTAGCGTGTAACAGATTTGCGAAGCGACAAGACCAGCCATGACCGGATCAGCAGATCTTTGAAATTGCATCTGTTGCATAAACACGGTTGCATAAACATCTGTTGACAGGCGTTCCTTCGACAGGTAAGTCGGTTGCAATTTCTGAAGCAAGATGCGCAATTACTGACACCTTCGTGTGTGGAACCTACACGAGATGCTTATCTGGGATCAGCAGAGTTAGCGTGTAACAGAATTGCGAAGCCACAAGACCATCCATAACCGGATCAGCGCCTTCATCAGAGTCATCATTGAGATAACCACCCTCATCTTCTTCCATATCCAACCCATCCTGGAAGTTCATAGCAGGTTCAGCAGCAAAGGGCGACGGTGGCGCCAACGGCTCATCAGCATTGGTCTCTTCCGTTGTCTTGGTAGTGTCATCCGTGACCCCTTTCCCTTTCAGCACGGACAATCTGGCAGAAGCCATGGCAGAAGACTCTGAAGATCCGCAGGAGCTGGGGTTGACAACGGCTCGTCAAGGATACCCTTGGTCATTGGCGTGCCAACAGTGTTAACCAGAGACAATGGGTCATCAAGAACTGAGTCACAAGCTCCACCCTTGATATTGGCTTTCACAGGCTTCACTCGTGGAGGCATGATGCTTGACTCTGAGGATGAATCGTTTGAAAAGTTAGCAGACTGATTGGTAACTGATGGAGTTTTTTCCGAGGCCCTTTATATAAGCGGGAGTAGCCTGTCATTGCTAGCAGTAGCTTGAAACCTTTGTCAACAGGGGGGTGAGTTGTGTCCTGAAGATCTCAAGGCGCTAGACCTTGGGAAATCCATTGTTGTATACTGAAAGGCGAGCATTGGAATTTGACAGCCTTGGGATCCACTGAAGATAAATAAGCTTGAAAGGTGTTCACTGTACGAACACAATTTGTTAATCTGCTTATAGATCTCGATGTCAGGAATCTGAAAAAACTTAGTTAAAGCTCCATCAAGCTCAGGTTCAATGGACATTGAGGCTGCCGAAGCGCGCGAGGTAGAATCTATGGCGGATAGTTTCGGTTGTGAAATGCACTGTACAGACACCTCTCATCCATGCCTCCTGCCATCAACCATCCCCTGGCCTTTCAGGAACCTCTGTTCCCACATACGTCGACATGTTGTTCTTACCGGGCCAGCGTATGGCATTGCCATGCTAACCAGCCAGCAGCTTTCCTTTCAAACCCGCAACCCCACCCCTCTCACGCCCACCAATCACTAGCTCTCCGCCATGGATCATGAGCCAACTTCAAAGTCATCAATGTCCCACAATTTCTTGCCTGGTGGTTACTATTTCATTACTGATCAACTCGCAATAACTAGGGCTTTAAGAGGATTCCTTCTTTGTGTTCATACATGGAAAATTGGTAACTCTTCTCTGGTTTCAGGGTACTTCGGTTTTAACCCCAAAGGCCTGACATTGATTTTTCCATGGTTGTCTTGGAAGCTCATTATCGAGGCTTCTTGTAGTGAGACGTGGGATGGGAAGCGGGGATGGGCGTAAGGAGGAATGGGCGCGAGGGGTGATGGGCGCAAGGGGGGATGGGCGCAAGAGGGGAAGGGCAAAGGAGTGGGAATGGGGCAAGAGCGGGTGCTAACGGTCATGCTGTGCTGGTTGGCAGGCCAGGCGACACGTGCCAGTGCTGCTGCAATGTCCGCGTATGGCGAGAGGGACAGCGGCCTTGAGATTGCCAGTGTCTTGCCCAGGTGACTCGCGCATGCCTCCTTCCCTCACTCCCAACCCCCCACTCACATGTCTGTCTCTCCCAACCCAACAACCTCAACACCCCCCTTTTCACTCACATGCTTGTCTCCTCCCCCCCCCCCCCCCCCCCCCCCCCCTCCCTTTCACTCACATGCTGTCAGGCCCTCTGGTGGTGAGGGAGCAGTGGCGGCAGTGGTGGCCGGCCGCGGCGGAGGTGAGGGGAGGACAGTGCATGGCATAGGAGTGGCGTTGACCGCCGTTGACTCGGTTGAATAAGAGTGTGGGCGATGCAACGGCATGATGGCAGCATGATGTTAGGCAGGCCATGAGGAAGGGCGAGGAGAGGCGAGGAGGGGCGAGGAGGGGCGAGGAGGGGCGAGGAGGGGAGGGGAGGGGCGAGGAGGGGAGGGGAGGGGCGAGGAGGGGAGGGGAGGGGCGAGGAGGGGAGGGGAGGGGCGAGGAGGGGAGGGGAGGGGAGGAGGGGCGAAGAGGGAGGGTCGAGGAGGGGAGGGGAGGGAGGGGAGGGGCGAGGAGGGAGGGTCGAGGAGGGGAGGGGAGGGAGGGGAGGGGCGAGGAGGGTGTGCTCACGCGTAGCATGGATGGCATGGGAAATTTCAGTCGCAATAGCATCTTCTCCCTCTGGCCGGGCAGGAAGGAATGCTGTGCCATCCCGTGCCCACCCTGTGCCATCTCGTGCCTACCTTGTGCCATCCCGTGCCCACCTTGTGCCATCCTGTGCCCACCCTGTGCCATCCCATGCCCACCCTGTGCCATCCACTCCCTTAATGGATTTTGCAAAAAAAGGTTCTGTCCATGCGCTATAATTGTGCTAGGGCAGGGGATTCAGTGCAACTCAATAGCTTCTGAGGAGGGTTGCAACATCAGCGATGCTCAGTTCTCCTGAGTACTGCATTGTTATGCATTGAATTACGGTTCGCATGTTTGTCCTTCTTGCTGAATGCTGTGGAAGAACCAGGGCTGACTCGCTCACTTAACACCACAATCCGTTCTGCACTCACGTGCACCTCTGCATGCACCCCTCTGCACTCGCATGCACCTCTGTGCACACAGCATCCACCTTCCTCCCATACGCGCGCCTCACTTCTGAAGCTCCAATCGTTCTTTTCCCATGAACTACCCTCTCTGCCCTCTCTCTCCCCTCCCCAGGTACCGCCATCCCTTTCGCAGCACCAGAGCAGCCTCACCACCCGTGCCTGTGCTTGCCTGCCCGTGTGCACCACGGTGCAGAGCAATGCCCTCCAGCTTCACACCCGTGAACCCCACACTCTCCCCTCAATGTACAATTTATCTGGCCTCTTCCAATTCCTCCAGGCTGCTGCCAAGTGTCGCTGGGTCTTCCTCTCAGCTTGCCACACGCCGCTACGGGTACACTCCATATCTGTGCTGCAGTGCTGGCTATTCAGGCAGCAGGGGGACACGGAATGTGAGCACGCCATGTAACTGCAAATGACGTGTATACCTGGTTCTTGATTGCGGGGGTGGATCAATGAGATTGCCAGAAGGAGCGACAATGATGTTTGGATCGCTATTCAAGGTTTGCATGTAAACATGACCCAACGTGATGATCCCTATGTGATTGCTTCAATTAATTTTCGATCCAATCGTTGCAAACACCATCGCTTTTCTAGGGCTAGCTCAATTGGCTTCAAAAGTAGTGTGTAGAGATTTTATATGTCAACATGCTACCTTTGCTTTAGGGATTTTGAATTCAGTGATTGAAATTCGTTACAGTCGAGAGACATGCATTCCCTCATATCGGATTCTCTCCACCTGCCCGCTTTGGAAGAGCTGCGAAACACTGCGAAGATGTCGAGGAAACCCGTCCCGTTCCTCGTTACACCCGAACGCAACCGCCTTGACACAAGTTTGCATTACCTACAAGGTTAGTAGGGAAGGCCGTGACTCCCCCTCGCCTCATGGCATGCAATGTGCTCATCCGCTCCGCATCCATTCCTAAATTCGCAGCACTTCGCTCGCCATCGCCAAGCCAACCAGTTCCCCCAAATTCAACTCGAGAGCTCCACACTCATTGCCATGTGAGACAGCACCACATTCTCCCTTGTACACATACCTTCCATAGCAGGCCATGAATCTCTTGAGTTCATTCAGCTGTACGATCCACTACTTCCCCAGCTCACTCCTATCCCCTCCTATCTTCCATCTGTCTACTTAGTTACAGCGTTTGAGTCTTGCCTCTCACTGCTTTTTCATAAATCGTCATCCAGACTGCTGTCCCGTGACACTCGTTTTTCAAACTCAGGCTAGGCTTCAAGGTTGCTGCATCCGCTTCTCTTATCTACCTCGCTCAACCATGATCTCGCACAAGACGATGCAGTCAGCAACACATATCAACGACCTTCCCAATGACGTCCTTGCTAGGATACTATGGCACACATCTGAATCCCGACTTTCACGAATTGAGGCCGAAGCAGCTGCACCTTTGCTCGCCGATCGTTTCAGACATCATTTTCCGTCTTAACGAAGAGACGTTTCCACTTTCGACTCCCTCCGCCGTTCCGAACGCTGCCAAGATCTTCCTCGTCTCGTTAGTGTGCCGTCGTTGGCGCGATCTAGCTCAACGTGACGTCTCCACCCTCGTCGTTGACAGCTGCTATTTCCCTACAACATGTCTTGCATGCCGTCGGTTGCTTCCCAAGCCTCACCCATCTCCGTCTCTGCTGTGGCAGCGTGGATGACCTAGACGACGCCTTCCTCGCTCACGTCGCATCGTCGTGTCCTAAGCTCACGATTCTCCACGTGGGATACGAGATCACGGAGAGTCTGAATGATGTCCGAGGGAAGCAATTCATCGAGGCTGGCCTGGATCGCTTCTTCCAGCGATGCACTCAGCTGGAGCAGCTTTCACTGCTCTGCCTCCATCGAGACGCCGAGCTACCGCCATCCTTCTTCCAGCTAACGCGTCTTCACACCCTGGCGTTAATAGCTGCCTCCATGTTGGAAGCTCCAGATCTGGGAAACCTCGCCTCTCTCACCACTCTCCACATCGTTTCCTCGAAGTTTAGCGATGCGCAGCTCGCAAACGTACGTCGTCTTCCCAGCATCACTAGCCTTTCAATGTCTTTCCAGACCAGGTTTTCTCTTGGTGATCCGAGCTCGCCTGCGTTCACCATCGCACAGCTACCATTGATAAAATCGTGGAGGACCTGCCTGCTGTTGCTGTCGGATTGGCCATGCACAACACTGGAACGGCTGCAGGTCTCATATTGCGACGAACTGAGGCGGCTTCCGGACGACTTTGCGGAATTGCTGCCGTGCATTCGTGAGGTGACCATTTTCAAATGGCATTTCTTGGAGGAGCTGCCTGAACTTTTCTGTTCCATGAAGCACCTCGAGACCTTGTTACTCTCCAGCTGCAACCAACTTCGCCGCCTGCCTGAAAACATTGGGAGCATGTCTTCCTTGAAGACTCTGGGTTTGGAAAATTTGCTGCTTGCGAGCCTGCCTGACTCCATCCGCCAGCTCAGCTCTCTAGAGACCTTCTCCCTAATCTCGTGCAACTCAATCCGCGAGCTCCCAGAAGGGTTCCGTTGCCTCACAGCTCTCACAACACTCTGCCTCGGGCACGTGGCGCTTCCAGCAGACATAGGACGCCTGAGGAACCTCCACACGCGTTTTCTGAGAGATGGCCTCGAACATCGGCATCTCCCGTCCTCGCTGTCTGATATCTCTTCCCTGACCAGCCTTTTGCTTCACCATTGCGGAGTGGAGGAGCTGCCATAGGGCGTGGGAGAGCTGAGCAATCTGCGCGACCTGCACATCTCCTCCTGCTCTCGTCTCACCGCCGTTCCAGCATCGCTGACGCGCCTGACTCGCCTCGAAGCTCTCATACTCTCTGGCTGCACAAATCTCACCTCCGTGCCCACAAGGTGGGACGGCCTCACGAGGCTCAAGCGCCTTGAGGTGGCTGCATGTGGCGAGCTGACACGGAATGATCAACTCTTGCCGGGGTCGCTTGAAATTCTTGGCTGGGGAAGCGACAGGCAGGCGATGGTTCTGCCAGACGTCTCCAGGTCGACGGGGCTTCGGGAGCTTTCCCTGATCAGGGTTGTTGTGTCCACACATGGGCTCGCTGTTAGCAGGAGTCTTTCTCATCTAGAGCGTTTGACTCTGAACTTGGGGGACGATGCTGAGGAGCTTCCCTTCGCCTTGATGTTTCTTTCTCAGCTGCGCACCCTGCATATTCAAAATGCGATGAGTCTCCAAAGGCTGCCGGCTGATATCGGGTCAGCACTGCCGCAGCTGCGGAAGCTGACGCTGGTCCATATGGGCGAGTTGAGGGAGTTGCCAGCGAGTGTGACTGCGCTACAGAACCTGACTTCCTTGGAGGTTCACCTGACGCCCAATCTGCCTTCTCTGCCGCATGGCATCGGCGCATTATCCCGGCTGCGGCACCTGCTGGTCGCTCACTGCACGCAGCTGGAGCATCTGCCTGCCTCTCTCACCCAGCTAGCCTGCCTGAACCACCTGTCGATTCTGCACTGCTCCATCCGCTCCCTGTGTCCCAACTTCTCACGGCTTGCACGACTCTGTTCTCTTCGTTTGAGGGGCTGTGCGCAGCTGCAGGCGTTGCCAGATGATCTGAGCGAGCTGAAGGTGCTGCAGGAGCTGGATGTGGAGGGGTGTAGCCAGCTGACTGACATTGATTGGTATGTGCTCCCCACGAGAAGAAGCCAGATTTAGAATTATACTAGTATGCAAGTAGACACCAGTTCTTTACTGACATGTAGCATCTTGGTTAGACTTCTGTCACGCTACTCCAACACCCACTAACTGTTTCCTTTGCTACATGATGTCATTAAGGTGGCCACTGGCCAGCCCAGGTACAAAGGTGAGGAATGAAAAGATTTTATAGTGACAGCAAAGGAAGGATTTGGGACACCCTTGACTGATGTTGGGAAATGCTTTATCGGCGGCAGGCTGATGTTGTCATTTCCATCAGTGCACCCCTGTTGCTCTGGTTCCAGCATCATTGCCATCATCAATTTTCTTTTTTCATAACCATACCTGCCGCTCTATTATTGACTTCCTCACTCCATCTTAACACTTGTTTAACACGTCTCATGGCAGGTACCGGCCCGTCCATAGTATGGTACCTTGCTTGTGCGTTGAAGTAACTGGATATTCTGCACCTATAGCGTTGATGACTCACATTCACCAGAAGGATTTGTGTCATTAAAGCTACAGTAATAGTTGTGGAACTATTTAACAGACGCCAGGAGTTGCGTGGTTGAGCTTGTTACCTCAGTAGCATTGACAGCCATGGCAACATGCACTAGCAGCATTGACAGCCATGGCCACATGCACTAGCAGCATTGAGAGCCATGGCCACATGCACTAGCAGCATTGACAGCCATGGCCACATGCACTAGCAGCATTGACAGCCATGGTCACATGCACTAGCAGCATTGACAGCCATGGCCACATGCACTAGCAGCACTCCTAACCTGGGTTGGGTTGCAGCAATTCCGAGCTGATGGGAGGCGCGGAAAGGGGGGGGCAGATAATTGGGGAAAAGCACATGAATGTATGTGACACCTACTTTCAGCGGCATT